CCTGGGAGGGGCATGGCGAGCATGTGTTTTTCGGTGATGAGCAGACATCGAGCGCAGATTTTCATGCTTGTTTTCATGCTTTTCCATTGCAGTGATTTTGCAGAGCAGTCCAGTAGCAGCATAACCTTGCATGATTCCTTTGACTTTGTGCATCTTCTTCAGACACAGCGCAGTGGTTTTGTCAAACAATTCAGCAGCAGCACAGCCTTGCATTCTGCCTCGAATTTGGTGGAGTTTCTTCAAACCTGGAGGTCTGAAGCCCCAGGCTCTGAAAGCACCAGTGATGCACGCGCCCAGGGTAGAGCTGAGTGGCAGCACCACAATGCCAGTCTTTACGCGCGCAGAGTCTCTGCCCAGATGCCAGGTCATGTTCATGTTCAGGCCTCTTTTCTTGCCACCGAGACGTTTGAGGTCCCTCTTCTACTTTCTCAGCATAGCAATGCTTGTGGGAGCAGATCACAACAGCAAGTTGGTTTTCAACAGTGTCAGCCTAGCCGACTGCGTCCTTTGCGTTATTGCCATCGACCCTCAGCTTGGGAAAGTGAAGCACTCAGGATCAGTCTTTGGGCTTGTGGTGACACACCACAGCTGCCAGCCGGCATGTGCTCAGGTTGCCTTCCGCTTTTAATTTTGAGGAGCTGTGAGTCCGCACCCAAACTTTATGCCTGTGGTGCCCCACCACGGCGACAACATGACTTTAATGCTAGCATAAGCTGTTCTCAGGTTATTCATCCGGAGCCCGGGACTTGCTCTTGCGGCTGTGGTGTAACACCACGACAGCAGAGGGTTCATGTGACAGGTGAAGCCTGTGCTCAGCTCCTGTCCCTCAACAGCTGCAAGTCCGAGGCCCAGCGCTTTTTAAGTCATGCTGTCTTTCAGACTTCGTGTGTGCTTAACTGTGTGTGCCCATTTTGTCTTGAGCTCCCTCGGCACTGCCGCGGGCCTACAGTGATTGCAGCAGGTGGTGTCTTGCCATGGTGCCGGTACCAATGCTTCCACAGGTCACACGTACTTGGGCCAGCGGTGCTCCGCGGCCCGAACACTCAGCTTGATTTATTGCAGGTCTGTCGAATTCTCGCTGGCATGCACCTAGGTTGTTATTGGCAGGATCGATCGTGCAACTGCCAGTATGTGTCTTATCTCTGCGCTTGCGGTGCTCAACTGCTGTGGCTCAGCATGTCTGTCAATGCATTAGGTGGATTCCGGGTGCCCCAGCTCCTGCCAAGGCCTCGATCAGGAAACTATGGTGTGTTACCGCCGCAGCAACAGCACCCTCGGCAATGCACAGGCCGTTATCCAGGCAGTTCCCCAACGGTGCCCTTGTGTAGCTACGGGTCCGGACCTCATCTCTGCGCCTGTGGTGCTCTACCACGGCAGCGGGGCAGGACATTACAATTCGTGTGGCATCCATGCTCAGGTGATTTTCGAGAAGGCGGGAACTCCTCTTCGAAGCAAGGCCCGGGTCTTGACAGCAGCTGTCAGCAGAGCCACTCGAACCACATATCAGTCCCTCAAAGTCTTGTGTGTGGTGCCTTACCCGCGGGGCTTCTAGCCGGTCGGTATGGAACAGGTGGTACCCAGCTGTGGCAGCATGCAGGTCGCTCCCAAACTGTGCCTTTGCATCCCCACGAGTCTGGGACTCAATCAGCCTCACCCCGAAACCAACGTCAACTTTCAGACGACTCCGGAGGCCTTGGTGCACTTCACTATCGGCCTAGAGGGCATGGTCAAAGGACCCAGTTACACTGCGATCTTGGGGCAGTTGCTATTTGAAGGCGACAGTGATTTCGAAAATCTCTCGTGCGACATGCCACCTCGCAAACGACCCAAAAGCAGGGCGACGAAAGCACGCGCCAAACGTAGAGTTAGCAGCTCGAGCTCCAGCAGCTCAAGTACCAGCACAAGGCCAAATGAGACCCCCAAGCCGAAGGCCTCGATGGTCAAAAGGGCGGCAAAGGCTCGTCAAGGCAAGGCGAAAGCCAAACCACAGACGCGCCCCAGGTCTAAGCCAGCGAAGCCGAAGCCGAAGCAAGCGCCATCCAGCAGCAGCTCCAGTACGGACACCAGTGCTTTGGTCAGCTCGGTCAGCTCGGAAACGGACTCCGGCGGGATCTTCCAGTCGCCTTCTACTACCCCGCCGATGGGGAGAAACCAGGAGGATCACAACTCGATGCTGGGGCCTGATCTTTGCTTGCCTGTTCTTCTCTTTGGGGCTTATTCAGACCTGCACCCCACCAGGTCACCTGGATACCCACCCGCCACACATCCGCCACCGGTCCGGACCTTGCAGCGCGGCACTCGTCAATGCTGTAAAATGCTGGTGCGGGCAGCCTTGCGCTGTCCGTGCCACTTTCAGCTCCTTCGCCACTGTCCAGCTCGGACCCAATCCACAGGTCAGGGCCTTGTATGGATTCGCGTGTCAGTTTCTTGCTTGTGCCATACCTTTCTGCTTGATGCCGGGCCTGTTGTCCTACTTTGGGTGTAAATTGTGTGTTCAGGTTCTTCTGCTGATGGGTGAACGTATATCCGCGAGCCCTATGAAGCTGCCGACGTGCCTGCCCGGGTGGCTGGATAGCTCAGTCGTGGTGTGCCGTTCATTGTGCTGTCCTCTTTGGCTGCTAGCCTCTAGATGTGCACTTCAGGTTGCCTCTCAAGGTGGCGAAGGGCGTCCTAGAGGGCGTTTTTGTCTGATGCTCTGTCTATGCTTGTCTCTTGTGGGACTGGTGCCTGGGATGTATTCCAATAACTCAGGTGAATTCTGGGTGGCTCAAATTCTGCCAAGGCATCAACCGTACGATTGTATGTCTCTGAGACCAGATCGCAAATGCTCGTTTGGTCCGGTACCTCACTCAGTTGCATTTGCTGAGGGTGCTGATGCTTCTGGGCCCAACTCAGTTTTCCAGATATCCTCGCTTTTCGGGAACAGTGGTGCCATGGGGCCAAGCAGACGAAGTCAAGCCACTAAAATTCGATCGGCAAATCGACCGGGAAAGAGAGAGCGAGCCTGCATTCAGACGACGATCAAGCTAACGGCAAGTGCCAAGGGTGCAGCTCGAAAACCTCTGGATCGACGTCTCGACGCACCTACTTTTCCCCCACCGCCGCCGCCCCCACCACGGAGGGACCGCGCTGGACATGTGGCACCACAGGCGGCCATGCCGGCATCTTGGGACAGACACCTGGCTCATAGAACCCCGAGTTCGTCGTCGGGCACGGAGCCAAATCCCATCTCTCCCGATGCACCGCTAGATGCGCTGAGAGGGCGGCTTCATCGGAAACTGATCGAAAGCTGCCATGGCAGGACTGATTTTATGCCTACTTTCGTCA